CTGCTGAAATCAGCTGTCATTTTGCATATTTAGTCCTCTTAGACTGAAACAAATGTTACTTGTTTAAATTGTTTAAATTGTCTAGCTTCCTAGAAGTCTACTCAAACAGACTTCTTAATTGTAACATTCCATAAGGCTAAAGAAGGTAAAATATTTCAGGGTATTTAGTCGTTCTTTTTCAAAACAAATATTACAAGACATGGCAGATCAAAAGCATAATTGGAAAATACCTGAAAACAAACTACACAATGGTACTAGCTGGAAGTGTTCCAGTAACAGGCCTAAAATTTTACAAATGCTTTTTAAAATGACAAATGTGTAGGAGCAGAATAATAAAACATTTAAAATTATTTCTATTCTTACATTTAAAAGATTTTTGTTTACAGACTTCATGTTTTCATCTTTTAGATTTTAAATATAAGCTATTCTTAAAATTATATAAAACCAAATTTGGTCAATTTCCTAGTCATTTTATGATGATGTTTCCAAAACTAGTTCAATCTTAACATTGCAAAAGAAAAAAAATACCATGTATTTGCATTACATTTTAACAAGCTAAATACTTATTATTTAATTCACATAAAAGCCCTATGGAACTCTACTAGGACTCTCGATATAGTCCATGCATTTAATAAAAACAAGCATGAATAACTTTTTCAAACAGCACTTTCAAATCCCTCACTTGGAGGGCATAATATATTTTTCCATGCTCTACTTAAATAGGTTTCCTAATTTCCTAAGAAAACATCTGCACTCGAATTATCTTTACTACTGACTTTCTTCGTCATTAAGGGAGAATTTCCACTTGAATACTGCAGCCTCCTACGCACGCATATACAAGTTCCTGTATTTACAGCAGAAGGCTGAATAAAGCATGTTACAGAATCAGGGCCTGGGCTCCAGGTGAAGTGCTAAATGAAGTGGAATTTTCCTAGAGTTTTAGAATTTACTTAAGAGGTTGAAATAATTTAAAAACTTTTGAATTCCACTGCATGTTACAAATCCATCAGAGGAACAGGGACATATTGATTAATTTTTTTATGTTAGCCTGTTTTGATTATACTGAGTTTTTTTAATACAACTTCAAAAGCATCTGTTGTACAACAACTCTACCAACTTTTGAATTCA